CTAACTATCGTTCCAATTGTCCAGAGCCTAAACTACCTATGCCTGACATTCGTACTGTTACCGTTTTTGCACACGACAGAATAACACATGTTGACATGGAACTTGATTCAGCCTCTCCTATCACTATAGTACCGAGTAGTTTTTATGACATTCACCTACATGACATGCCTATACATCCTTCAGCCTATCGATTTGACAGTTATACAAAGGCCCCGGTAGAAATACGAGGATTTGTGGTGATTGTGTTACAACTTGGGGCCGTGAAATCATCAGTTGCTGTGTACGTTACCCGCGGAAATAACCGTCCCTTACTCGGACGCAACGCTATGGTTGCACTGGGAGTCACGCCGTCCCTAGCTCGTATGCGCATCATGGCAATTAACCTATCAGACCTACAGATACGGTACCCGAAATTATTTGAACAAACAATAGGGCGCGCTCCGTCCTCCGTTCACCGCATATGTCTGAAGCAGGATGCTAAACCGGTAGCTATTGCTAATCCACGTCCAATTCCTTTGGCCAGAAGAGAGGCTGTTTCGTCAGCATTACGGCAGATGATTGCAGATGATCTCATTGAACCCATTAACTGTTCTGAATGGGTCCACCCTATGGTTACAGTCCTCAAGAAGGACGGTACAGTAAGAATATGCAATGACCTGCAGGCCCTAAATCGGCAAATCGTGGTAGAAAAGTTTGTGCTTCCAACCGCGGATGAACTAATAGTTAAACTAGCTGGCGCCCGATATTTTTCAAAATTGGACCTTAGGAAGGCTTTCTTTCACATGCCTCTAATTAAGGATTCAAGACCGCTGACCGCATTTCTCACTATGGACGGACTCTTTCAGTACAAAGTCTTGCCAATGGGCTTGAGTTCAGCTCCAGCAGCTTGGCAAAAGTTTATGGTTCACTCATTTGCCAATTTACCTGATCAAATAGTATACATGGACGACATCTGTGTATTCGGTAGGACTCCAGAAGAACATGATTCACGACTGCATGCTGTGTTACGTCGACTACACGACCTTAATCTCCGATTAAACCCCGAGAAGTGCAAATTTAATGCTAGTGAGATCGAGTTCCTGGGCCACATTATAACAAATGACGGTATGAAGCCGAGTTTTGACAACGCGTGTGCCATCACCGAGGCTCCTGGCCCACAGAACTCCACTAAAATAAAGCATTTTCTAGGTATGTGTTCTTACAACCTACGTTATCTGCAGGATTTCACAAATATTGCTGAGCCACTGCGTGAACTGACAAAGGAGAAAAATGTATTTGTTTGGGGTCCACCCCAACAAAAGGCATTTGATGAGATAAAACGCCGCATTGCTTCCACACCAGTTATGGCGATTTTCGACGAGACGTGCCCAACGATTGTCTCTACTGATGCATCAAACATTGGGTTGGGTGCTATACTATCTCAAATTCAAAGTGGGCATGAAAGAGTTATTGCACACGCTTCCAGAAAATTGTCGGCGGCGGAGCTTTCTTACTCTGCCGGGGAAAAAGAAGCCCTTGCCTGTGTTTGGGCCTGTGAGAAGTGGAATCTGTTCTTGTTCGGAAGACCCTTCACTCTTCGTACAGACCACGTAGCGCTAACTAGTTTACTTACTCGAGGAACAAATGGCATCACGCCACTTCGGATACACCGCTGGTATGCACGATTGTTAACGTACGATTTTCAAATTAAATTCCGTCCCGGACGCGAAAACCAAGTGGCGGATGGGCTCTCTCGACTACCCCTCAACGAAACTGAAAATAATGAGGATGATAATGAGAGGTTACTGGTGTCTTCGCTGAGTAATGAACCAATCTCAGCCCTGACTAGGGAAGAACTCCAGAAGGCGACTCAGGAAGATGAGACACTCTGCCACGTTCAGGAGTATCTGCTAAACGGTTGGCCACAAAACAATAAGATCACAGGCGAGTTTCGTCCGTACTACGTGTCGCGTCACGAACTTTCATTTCTAGATGGATGTTTAATGCGTGGCGAAAAGTTTGTGGCTCCTCGGAGCTTGATACAAAAGATCATGCTATGTGCTCACGAAGGCCACCCTGGTATCGTTCGTACGAAACGCAAGGTTGACGCATGTTTCTGGTGGCCCGAAATGTCACACGAAATAGAAAACCTTGTTCATGACTGCTCTCAATGTCAAAAGGCAGACAAGAGTTCAAGGCCGGTTTCATCCCCTATACAACCTGTAACGCACTTATTTACCCATGAAATTCTTCTACTCTTCGCTTCGTGGTCTAGTCTGCACAGCTTGGCCGGTCGTTGATGGATATCGACCAGCGTTCACGTGTGCCTCCTTACATTCCCATTGTTAGCGTTGTATGTGTGTCTGTGTGTGCATGCTAATCACCGGCACTGGTTCCGTGCGTGTGCGTCTACCGACGACCTTGGATCTCCAACCCTACTCTTCGCCGAACAGGACACGTGCAGCCCGGACATATCTCGCACCCCTCCCCCATTCACTGGTCGCTTGTCCAAACACCATGTTGTGCATGCCATTAAACTCTCACCCTGTGATTGGGCCGTCCCCTGATTGGTCAACGCTATTACTCTTAATATTTGTAGCACTCAGGTGTCGTGATTTGTACCCTTGGTTTGTCCGGCGTAGACAACGCGTCCCTCCTATTGTTTACGGACCTTGTTGTCAACTTGCATACACCGGGATACTGAACAATTGAAGTATGTCCCAATTATCCACTGTATATATTTTAATAGTACCGTAGTATTTGTGATCCAACTTGTCTTGATTTCGGGATCTTTGGCTACGCGTTATTCAACGTTTACCGTGGACGTTACACAACCCATTGACTATCCTATGCGACCGTGGGCCAAGATAGCTGTTGACATCATGGGTCCATTTAGCTCAGCGTCTCAGCTTCAAAGGAAATGTTTGGTGGCGACCTGCTTCTACAGTAAGTGGCCGGAAGTCCATTTGTGTGGAGAGGTGACTACTGCCAGCATTATTCGATGGCTGAAATATATGTTCTCCCGCTTCGGATTACCAGAGGAGATAGTGACGGACAACTGGCCGCAGTTTACAATCCACGAGTTTCATTCGTTCCTTCAACTTCACGCTATCCGACACTCACGTACAACGCCGTATAATCCAGCGGCAAACGGCATGGTAGAGCGGTTCAATCGATCCTTGAAAGAGAGTATCCAAGCTATTCGCTTATCTGGTACAGGTTGGGAGGATGCAGTTCTACAAGCACTATTTTCTTACCGAACCGCACACCACCGAGCTACAGACAAAACGCCAGCAGAACTTATGCTTGGACGTGTCCTTCGGACAAAGTTGAAAGCCGCACTTTCTATTCTTGCAACCAATAATTCCGACGAGTTAGATCGTCGCCATCGATATCAGACCACTTACCAGAAGCATACTACGCCGCTCCAGCCCGGAACATTCGTGCGCGTGAAGGTAAACGCTGCATCAAAAGGACAACCCACGTTATCAGATCCGATAAGAATAATGCATGCATGTGGGTCAGGCACTTACCGGCTGGAGGATGGCCGCACAGTCAACGCCCGGCGATTATTCACAAGTATCAGAAGAACGGGCAAATACCACCAAACTTCACTGACGAGGCCACGCAAAGCACGCAGCTCCGCAGGACGAGCCGAGGACAAAGACGACCGTATCGATATGGTTTTGATGCCTCATACGATTAAGCGGAGGGGTGATGTTGTGTATTCTGTCTGCTCTCTGGACGGCTAGTCTAGACAGACACGTGCACACAACCCAGACACACACACACACACACTAAGCGTCTAATTCTCTACTTCCTTATTGGTTCATCCTTCTCCTTGCGAAACCTTAATGTACTCACCCAGTTAGACATGGTTCAGATTACAGCAGTCCGTTCCCGAGAGTGACCTTTTCGTATACAACAGTACTCATCTACGGTAACCAACGTCGAGGTTGCAACTGGAACAAAGAACACAAGGATCAATCGCCCTCTACCTCAAGTGACCAGATACAGGCAGCATTCTTGTGCAACAACGGCCCTCCATAGAATTGATTCCACCTAACCGCAAATGTGGTGAACAGAAAAGTGCACGCGCAGTAAGCCGAAACATTATTTATGCATTTTGCGGCCTTGCGTTTCACCCCGCTTTGTTGGTTTGAGTCAACTAGGATGTAGGAGACAAATTAATCTGATTGACACACTCTGATTTTGTCAACCATGCAGATCAATGCCAATATTCAATTGTATAATATCGTTCGTGATTATATGTGAAAAACTGTCTGAAACTGTCCAGATGATGGCAAGTTTCAGGGCTTTGCCATTAGAATCTAACAACATCCAACTTGCTCTACAGCAAAACCCTCAGAGCACTGGCCTTATGTCAAAGACTACAGTGAGTCTTGATAACCGCCCAACGGCATCTGTGCCACCAACCCCGACAGTTACAAACCCTTTAGATGAGCAAGCCACATTTAGCGGGACTGCTATGAACTCATCCCTAGAAGTCACACCTAACGAGGTGCTCACAACACCAGGAGTCCAGAGGCGGGTAACATATGCATTGGTTACCTTGATAAGAAGGCCGGAAGAGACTCTCGTACATCCATTTTCTGGACCAAGGACGAGCGATGCGACGCTATTTTCACAACATTAGGTAGTGCTCGGTAAACAATTCATCAGTCACAACACCAAAGCCGACCTTCGCTAAAAAGAACCACATTGCGTTAACAGTTGTGTGCATTAACATTCCTGAGTCAAGATGTATGTATGTATGTATTCTCAACAGTCTATTAGCTAGACAAAGAGTCAGCCTAAAACCATGGAGTTAAGAAGATAAGCAAGATCCATGGCGTCATAATCACCGTGGCATGCTAGTTGAAGGTGAGCGACACACTTCAACTAATATGCCGCAGGAAGAATGGAACATTTTGATAAAAAGCAGAACAAAACATTTTTAGTTTGTTTTCACACGCCGAGTTTGCTCCTTTTTTGTCATTTTAATGTTTGTAGAATTAAACAAGTGAATCAATACAATAATGTACAAAATTCTTCCACTGATTTCGGTTGCGGGCCATATCTTCAAGAGTGCAAAGCCGTTGGCACTCCTCATCTTTGGGTCCCCATCCTGGAAGACGTACGGATCCTACAGCGGATAGACACGACGTCAGCGATTTCATGTGCTGCCGGCAAGTGGAAGGCTGACCACTACGCGGTCGCCTCCAGCCAGGTCCTTGACGAGCGAATAGAGCGCGACACGGTAGACGCTCAGGTGCCATGCGTTGGACGTGACCGAGCCATCTCAATTGGCGCAACAAAACCAGTTTGTTGAAGGGAATACTCGCATTCCCCAAGATGCGACCTCGAACGTCATTACCATTAACTCGATGTTGCCGCCAAACACGCGCGATCCTCCTTAAGCAACCGTTATCGATCGCAGAAAGACGACGCATGTCTTCCACGCGAAGCGGCCAGGACTCGCGTGTCAAGAGCTGGCACAACAAAGAGCAAGTTGAAAGATGATCGCAACCAGTGGAATTCCATCTGCGGTGCGATTGGTAATCGGGTTGAACCCACTGCGCTGAGACGCGTAGCGCCTCACCCAACTTCAGTGCACTACGGCGAACCCCGATTTCCTCGTGTAACTTTGAACTCAACTGAGGATACAGAGGCAGTCCTCACCTCAGCAGTTCATCTTCGCAACACATCGAGCGGTGTACGCATACTACCAGTTAGTCCTTGGAAAGGGTGGCCAAAGGAAAAGGAGCACCATGGCGGCCCTTCTGCGAACGAAAAGCAGAAAACCGTATTTGTTTATGGTGTTCCTGAACTACTTCGCTCTCATGATCACGAAGCGCAAAAATATGACCGAGAGCAGTCGTGCTATATCCGCAAAGCACTCTCTCTGGACGACGTTATCGCTAAATCACTAACAAGAATTTCTTCATCTCCAAACTAGAGGGGCTGCGGTCCAAAAATATTGAATGTCGTGTTACGCACCGAAGGAATGACATAAGTCCTAGTGGATAGCTGGTTAAAGCATGGCACCAGTTTACCTACCGGGATTAGGCTGAAGGTAGCAGGCGCACAGCCACTACTTGTCAGCACTTCATTGGCACATGCGGCTTCAATAAAATATTTGCATCCACAATCCTGCAGAATGGTGGAAAAAAGTACCACTCACGACACCTGGCAGGACAGGGAGACACACAATGGAACAACTCGATCTGGAATGCTCCATGCTACCTGCAGCCTGCTTGAAATTCCAGGACCAATGATCTACGCAAAATCGATTAGCGGCCGACCGATGTGAATCTATTCATCACCCAGAAATCCGTGCCTCTGCTTCGCTTTGGAGCCGGATATAGTTGTATTGTAGCTGTGATTTACCGTCCAACAAACTCTACGTGTGAAATGGACTGCAAACTGAACCTCGTTCTTCAGGTTGCTTTGAGCAAGTCATATAGTCATATTCGCATCGCAGGTGACTTTAAGGTGTATAACCTGGCAATAGCGGCAACCGAGAGCATGCAGTTTAAAGCCTGTTTACATGACGTAATTTCCAGCTATCCTCCATACAACCACGTGACCTATCCCAACAGCTTTCGAACTGATAACAAGCCGTTGATACTTGATCGTATTATCATCAGTAAAGAATTCATGGTTGACGGAGTAATTACAAGATCACCACTGGATCGTACTGACCATGTCACTCTACTATTTAACTATATAAGCTATGTGAAATCTCTTGAGGAAGAGGATGATAAAGTGTATAAGGTCACTCACTACACTGCGTTTTCCGCGCTAGGTAAGGAGGCATCTCGGACCTTCTTAACTGAATGCCCCCAAAACTCGCCTGGGACACTTTCACAAGGATATTTAGCACACTAGTAGCGCACATGTCTGAGCAGAAATCGTTCCATCACCAAAAGAAGTCATTTCTGAGGAGCAGAGCACGCAAATGCATGTCCTTGAGGGACTTAGCATGGAGAACTCACCAAGACTCCCCGAATTTCGAAACATGTACTGCCTACGTGGCACAAAGTAACTTTTGGGTGAGCTTGATCCGCGAGGACAAGTTGACGCATCCACAGGAATGGAAGAAGTGATTATGTGCGAACCGCAAACTCTTCTACAGACATGTTAATGCCTTCGTAAGATGCAACGTGGAATTCCAGCAGTGGTCACGACCGACAGGTGTACGCGTTCAGCAACGGAAGCAGCCGATCTCTAACGGTTCCATTACTCGCATCCGTTCCAGAGCGTAACGGACTCAATGGTTATCACAGTTTCTATTGTCCCGTATCAGCTTTGGGCAATATGACGTTTACTGCATAAACCGTGTCAAACAAACTGTTGTCTCTGCGTATCCACAGCTCTCCTGGTGTCGATAACATTTGATCGAAGGCTTTACAGGCAGCAGCCATTGATCTGGCGGAACCTCTAGCTATATTCTTTCAGCGGTGTATGGAGGAGAACCATATGCCAAGAATATGGAAGCCAGAGGTTATCACTTCTATCAATACGGGAGGTAGTCGCCCTGACGCAACCAACTACTGTCTGAAAACGCTGCTCCCTGTGCTTTCTAAAGTTATAGAGTCTATCATCGCTGATGCACTCATGCAGTATCTGGAAAATCACAACATGACAGCACCAGAGTAACAAAAGGTTCATGCATTAAGAACTTGCTAATTGCACGTAATAGCTGGACTGAAGCAATTGATGGTGGAGCAGGAGTCAATGTCATTTACCTGGACTTCTCAAAAACGTTTGACTGCTTAGACTACCGAATGATCCTTCATAAACTTTAGCTCTATTCTTGATTTTCATAAACGATCTGGCGAGGGAAAATACTTACGATTTCCTATTCTTTGCGGATGATGTCAAGTTATAGCGAGCGATCAAAGAACTGAACGACCACGAAAATCTCCGGCGTGACCTCAACACGATTTCAAACTGGTCAGTTCTGAATGCACTACCGTTCGATGTGGAAAATTCTCACGTTGTTCAATTGCGCCATAGGCAAGATTACGTGTATGACCTTGGGTCACGTGTTTGCAAACAACTTCCCAAGAACGCGACCTTGGTGTGCTCATTCAAAATGACCTTAACTGTTCAAAGCAGTCAGAGGCAGCTGCGAAGAGAGCCAAACAGCACGTCGGTTTGCTGCGGAGAGCATTCGGAAGATTCGACCCATCCATCTTCGTCAAGATGCACAACTCTTACATACGCCCTCACGTTGAATACGACATCCAAGCTTGCCAAGCTTGGTTGAAGCGCGACTTAAAACTGCTACAAAAACCACAACGCAGGGCTACAAAGAGCGTCAAGGATCTACGAAATCCGTCCTACCAGCGAAGGCTGAAGTCACTGGGAGTTTCCAGTGGCCACCACCGAAGGCTGCGCGGCGATCTCCTATTAGTCTACCAAATAGTGAGTGACCCTAATGACGTATGCCGTCACTTGCTGAGACTCAGCCATAACAATAATTCCAGAGGTAACCGTCTGAAACGGTGTGCACAGTATAGTCGCCTGAAATGCCGGCGGGATTGCTTTTCTCTTCGGGTTTGCCAACCTTGGAACTCTCTCCCAAACTTCTTTGTTTCCTCCTCCACCTTGGATATTTTTAAAAAACGATTGGATCTTGCGCTTGGCCCCCAGCACTTCGTTGCCTAAACTGTGCTACTTTGGAAGATATTAATTATCCATTAAAACCGAAGTAATAGGTCACATAAACCTGAGGAGGCGGTACAGAGGTGAGTATTCTCGTTGTACTTTGCTCACGCAGTACAACCATAAATGTCCCCATCTTGCCTCGTCGTTCGCGTTCAATTCTTACTTACACTACTATTATTCAGCGGTATAACTGCTAGATAAACGTTCAAACAGACAACTCACCTATCTTTTGATACTTGTAGTTTTACCCCTACCATCCTGCGGGAATTGTCAAGCAACTGCATGATTACCCGGCATGAAACATTGTTAATTGTTCATTGTACTGCATGTGATCTAGTTGTGATAGTACAAGAGGATCTTGGCTGTTCACTTCAGGCCAAGTAGGCATCCAATAAAGCCAACTAACATCTTGGCCTTCGGGGGAGAACGTTTGAGCGTTTTCACCCTTCTATCTTCTCTCAGATGCTCACTGCATACATCAGACTTCATTCGGAATACGCTATTCACGCCTGGCAGCCCTGGCACAAGCACGACCTCACCGCACTTGAACGGCCACAATTAAGAGCGACCAAGAACGCAAAAGGTCTGTTTCATCTCCTTTACCAAATGAGGCTGAAAACCCTTGGGGTTTACAGTGCACAATATCGATGCCTGCGTGGCGATGTGCTAATGACATATTTGATCCTAATGAATTCAAACCTTGCTTGTATTCATCTTCTGACGCTGAAGCACGAAAGTGCAATGAGAGGTCACCAGCTGAAGCTGACCACACAGTATAACCGTATAGACTATGGCCACCATCTCTTTTCACTTCGCGCGAGCCAAACATGAAACGCCATCCCCACTTACGTTGTTTCTTCTCCCACACTGATGGAATTCGAAAAAGCTCTCGACGATGCACTAATACAATCACATTACGCCATTTAATCCTCTATATACGGCGTCAATCTTCACTACAAATAAACCCAAGGCATTTTCGACTTCAGCACATCAGTTGTTAAACGCTACTACTGGATTTACGTATCCCGTCGAACAAAGAAAGCTGCACACGAGTAAGCATTGTCATTTCTTTAGGTATTTCTTTTCTTACCTATTAAGTGACTTGGAACCACTCCCCATATTGCTTTGTGTGCGTACATTAAGTTCTCAATTCAAATAACCGTTAGACAGCCTTGCAGTTAACTCTGTAGTCGATTAAACGGACGATTCCCTTGTCCAGTGTTGTATTTTTTCTCTAGAACAAAAGACCATCTGGTGAGCAATTGCTTTCAATGATTCATCATCAGACCATTACAATCATATGGAGGCTAGAAAGAGAAATCGACCCAGTTAGTTCAAAACGACTTGATCACGTGAAGGTCTATGTCAGAGTGGAGAAAAGGAATTAGGTCTTAGAGGGCTATTTGTTTGCTACCGCGTCTGACCGAAGGCAGTCGACCTGGGCGTCTTCCCTATTCGCTGGCCAAGGAAGCTGGAGAGCCTGGACCAGCTTCTTCTGTGAGCATAAGGACAGTTGGAACTATCGAATGCATATTGCTTCAGCTGTCGCAAGCGTACGAAGGCGGTAACCTTTCGTTCGGTGCGGTGGAACCTTGTAAACTATTCGGAAAGCGCGTTTCCAATCCACCTCATGGCCGGTGTCCACAATGTGGGCCAGAATGGCGCTACTAATGGTCACCGCGCCCTCTTGACGCAACTAACGAGGGTAATGTTCGTTCACGCGTTTGGATAACTGCCGCGCCGTTCGACCAATATACGTCGCGCCACAGGCGCCCAC